ACAAAGTGAGTCTAGAACTTTTTTTGTGTTAGAAAGGCAGGAGTGTCCCAAGGCTACTAATAGAGGTGTGTCAACATGGTACCGGAAGTGACTGGCCAATTTCGGCATGATGAAAATCAAATACAAAGATGGAAATAGATCATAAGATACTGCATTAAAAAAGGAAATAATGTGCTCCAAAAAGGAGGAAAAGGAAAAGAGGGAAACAAATCTCTGTTATAGATTAATGCCAGTTTATAAGTGTAGAAGGAAGATAGAATTACCAAAACCATCATTTTGCAATTACCAGTGTAATGACTGACGCAGGCAAGAATTATGAGTGGATGTTGAAACCTTTGTTATGAAAGGTGGTTGGGAAACAGCCAAAGTATCAGCCAGAAATGATTCCTTAATTACAAAGGGAAAAATGTACCTTTATCATGAAGATATTTGGCAGTTACCACCTGAATCAAAGGATCAAATTTAACAACACCTTTTGATGTAACAGGAAGGACATGGTATCAGTTACGTACTTTTCTGTCAAAAATATTTGATTTTAATCTAGTCATAAAGAAACAATGAGAAAAATCCAGATTGCCTTCAAGAATTTCTGTGTCAAAAAAGATGAAAAAGGAAAAAAAGGAACATTATAGGTCAGTGTTGTTGAAGGACAATACAAGCCACAAATGTAATTTAAAATTTTCTGTTGGCCACATTAAAAAAGGTAAAGAGAAATAGGTGAAATGAATTACAACGGTATATTTTAATTCAATATATGAAAATATTATTTAAACAATAATTGATGTAAAATTATTAATCAGATATATTACATTTTTGTAGTCAATCTTAGAAATTCAGTGTATTTTGTACTTATAGCCCATCTTAATTCAGAATAGCCATATCTTCAGTGCTCAGTAGTCATATACTGGTGGCTACCATATTGGACAGGACATTTCTAGGTTAAAATAGGTCTACAAGATATATGTAATCCTTGGTAGATACTGGATTGGAAAAATCAGACAGCTAGAAAGTATGTTTTGGGGACAATTATGGAAATTTGTATACAGATAACATATTAGATAATATTGTAACAATGTTAAATTTCTTGGGTGGATATTGTGAATATTTAAAAGATGTTCTTAGGAGCTATGTGATGAAGTATTTAAAGGTGAAATGTCATACTATTTGCAGTTTACTTTCAAATGCAGCAAAAAAATAAGGTACATAGATCAATGTAGGCTATAGAGTATTTGATTTAAACAACTAAATTAAGAAACTTAATTTATTAGATGAATATAGAACAACAAGAGAACATACATTTTAAGACAAGTGTGGAACATGAAAATAGACTATACACTGGTAAGAGTCAATAAATTTAAAAGAATTTGGAATTATACAAACCATCTCTGATTACAATGAATTTAAAAAATGACATGATAACTTAAAATCTTATGATTTGGAAATCAAAAATTATTTATGGAATGTATAGAGGATAGATTGGAGAGTATTGACATTGGAGGCAAGAATGCAAGTGAGGAAGCTGTCTTGCCTGAGGGTTTCAGCCCTGGACAAATTCACTATGGATTCAGTGAGATCAAGAATGACAATGGAACGTTCTTGGGGTAAAAGGGTTTATACCTGGATTTATTCTCCCAGGTGATAGGTTGAACACTAGAATTACATCTGCCTCCACTAGTCTGCAGGTCCATAATCCTCATCTCTGCCTCCACCCAGAGCACTGGGCAGAACTCCTTATTAGTGACTCAGTAATAACTTATTGCCTGTGGGTGTGGAAGCATTAGCTCAGCAGTAGGCCAATTACATCGTCAAGTAGTTTAGGGTCAGGTAAGGATCCTGGCCATAGGAACTTCCATTTTCCCCACAGTGTTTCAGAGGGGAGATGATAAAGGTCTGTATTGAGGCAGTAGGAGTGGGAAAAGATAGAAGGGACTTAATGACTGACTGTTTGAAGAGATTGAGGGAGAGCAAATCGTAGAAGTGGCTTCCAGTTTATGGATAGATGCTAATGTTATTAGCTGTGAGAGGGACATGTTGTGATGTCTGACAAATTTGAATTTGGTAATTCAAATTTGGTGCTTGAGAGTGGTCTGAGCAAGTTATATATATTTTGTGAGGCATCTATGTTTAGATGATAAATATAGCCAGGGGAGTGGACCAGATCATTAAAGGAAAGTATTAGAAAGCAGCTAATTGTATACACAACAGCTGGAGGTGGTCAAAGCAAATGAACCCATGAAGGAGACAGATGAAATAGTCTTTTTCCAGAAGTGAAGGAAATTGAGTGGTTGGTAGATTACATGTGAATGAATGATTAATTCCAGCTGAACTCTGAGGATAGCATGGTAAATAGTGTGAAGGACTAGTGTTCTTTGGTTGGCAATTCTAATGTCTTATACATTCCATTTGTTTGATTTCATTACAAAACCCCCAAATATTCATCACTTGACTTACATTTCTTTTCCCAGTCTTCCTTTCTGTCTCTCATTTACTAATTATTATAATCAGAAGTTATTTTTAATTTAAATTCCAGAACTGAAATTCTGGAGTTTGCTGTTTTGGGGAAAATGTAAGTTCTGATGGCCAGGATCCTCACCTGAACCTAAACTTCTTGATGATATAATTGGCCTACTTCTGGGCTCCTGCTTCCACACCTGTTGGTAATGAGCTATTACTGATTGAGTCACTATGTAAAGAGCTCTGCTCCCCCCACCCTTCTCTGGGTGGAGGTGTATTATGGACCTGCAGACTGCTGGTTGCAGATGTGATTCTAGTGCTCAACCTACCTCCAGGAGAGGACAGCCAGGTATAAACCCTTTTATCCCAAGAATATTCTGTTGTCATTTCTCAGTCTCACCAAATCCATAGTGAATCTGCCTGGGGCTGAAACCTTCAGGTGAGATAGCTGTAATCGGTTTAGAGACTAGATTTTGCATAAAGGGAATAGTTATGAAACTCAGAGATGTTACAGTTTGTCCAAAGTCACACAGTAAGTCTGGTTCCCCATCTAGAGATTTATCTAGAGTAATTAGAAGCAATGTTGGATTTTTTTACATGCTTGAATTGCCTGTCTAGAAATCTTCTTCAATTCTATACTACTTTTTTTTAGCAGTATAACTGCATTTATTTTTTATTTTGGATGCAGTCTTAATATGATTTAGTTATATGGCACCGTGGAAGGCTTTCAGTTTAGCACTTAAATGTATTACTGTTGTGTTATTAGTTATTATAGTAACACAAACTTACTTCCTTTAGCATCACTGTAAAACTGACTCCCTAGATATCTGTGTCAGATGTCATGACCTTTCCCCCCATCCTTTTGCTCCTTCACTTTTCCACAGTGATTTTCACTGTTGGTCATACTGTCCACTGAGAGTGACAATCATATTTTATTAATTGCTATTTCCTACATCTTTCCTCTCTAGGAGTTAGCATAGCTATTTTCACAAGTAGATAGTCCTTAAATAAAGAAAATGAACTAATATGCATATTGAGTATCATAGTGATACTCCAGGGAGTGCCTGTCTGGGTTTGAATATTGACTATGTACTTCCAGCTACACAACCTTGGGAAGGTTAATCTCTATTTCTCCACTTCAGTTTCCTCATCTATAAAATAGTCCTCATCTAAAAAATAGAAAAATAATAGTTCTTGATTTATGGGGTGGTTGTGAGAGTAAATGAAATATAATAGTCCTTATACAACATTCAGTACACTTAGCATATGGCTATTTTTAAGACTCAAATTTATAAATTTTTTTTCTCTATTTCTTCACCTGAATATATTTCTCAACCCACCATGTGTCTTTACATAAGTGTGTCTTTTGAGCTCTGTAGTCACCCTCCAAAGAAAGCGAGGCAGAAGTTAAGTTCTTTCCCTGAATAGGCGCCTCAGGCCCCATGAAATCTGGGGGCAAAGAGGAGAGTAAGGAAAGGGTGCACTTCAGGATACAGTTGAACCCTGGCTCCATACCTGTAACTTACAAGATCTTAGGTAAGCTGCTTTCCTCACATATAAAAGAGAATGGTCACAGTACTTCACTAAAAACAAACAAACAAAATCCCAAAATAACAGTTCTGAGGCTTACGGGCTGAGATAATTCCTAGGGAATGCTAACCAACACCTCTGGTATGTTACAGTCAATAAATATTAACATTCTGTTTTCCATTCATTTCTCCAAAATTTTTATATTTTGTTATTTTAAATCTAAAATTACATAATGCATTTGACTGCGCTCTTTTTGTTAGCATTGACATACCAGTGAGTTTGTAAATATTTCTTAAACAGACGGTTTCATCTCATGTTCTCTGTATCTTTAGTGTATTTTTACTATACCAGAGCTAGTAGCTGGAAGGTGCTTCATAGATATATGACTTAATATTTTGTCATGATATTTCAATCTATATGTTAGTCCCACTCTCTGTACAAAATAGAAAATAATAGGTATTTAAAAGTATTTATGTATATTCTTTTGAGACCCTAGGACCTAGATTGTTTAAAGCAGAACCTTCGCCTTTTCTGGACATCTTTCTTACTCTCTATGAAATGGATGAGATTTCTGGAGCCCTTGGTGTTCCTATTTACATTAACTAATGATTGCTAAATTATTTTAAAATAGTAGGCTCTCCTATAAGAACTAAGGCTTGTGATGATAATGAGGGTAATAATGCTGATATGTATAAACGAGGCTGTTTGTATTCATTGGTATGTGCTGTCCTGGTGCAGACATTTCTCTGGGAACTATTTCCTTTCTGATATATGCAGTTCATTTACTCTATACTTTTAGTCCTAAATTTTAGTAATTGCAAAACATCTGAGGAGAGCACAGGGTGAAAAAAAACACTCAAATGTGTTTTTAGAGTATCTTTGTGTTAGTAATTTTTTTGAAAAATATTGTACCTCTTGTTATTAAAAAAATCTGTGATTTGCAGTTTAATTCAAAAAATGCACTTAGAACTTGAAAACTCTGAAAGTATACAATTACAGTTTTTTTTAAATTCCAGAGCAAGTTAAACTGGGTAAAATAGTGACCAATATTGAATCAGTGAGTAAAAAAATGGAGAAAGAAAAGCAAAAGCACTATGGGAAGCCCAGGTAATGTATAATTAGCTAATCTATAGAGAATATATACCTTTCTTCTACTTTGCCAACATTTCCTGACCAATTGTCATGGTTTCTCAAGTCTATTAACACCCCTTGCATGAGGCTAATTTATCCTTCTGCTTGAGTCCCTCAAACCATATCAATTATCAAAATTTTAGTTTTCAGTTTAATTAACTTTTGAACTGGAGGATGTCTGAGTAGTTAAACAAACCATCTGGGTTTTATAGTGCATAAGCTTAAATCCAATTTATAGCTTTCTTGAGCAAAATACCATATTTTATGATAATATTACACAAGTTTGCAATTTTAATGACTCATCTGTAGCACTTATGGAACACAGTTAAGTTATAATTTTTATTTTTTAATATAATAACTTAAAGTTAGTCTTTTTCTAACTTTAGAAGGTGAGGCTGATTCTATAGAACATAGTTTGAAAACAGGAATTTTGAGCATTGCTTCTATTTTCCAAAGGTGTCTGGAGATGGGTCAATTATTTTTTGAATTATTCCACTAAATAGCTTCATCATTTTCAAGGTAGCTACAATTGTAGATGTGATTGTTGACCTTAAAAGATACAGATAGAATCTCTAAAGGCCCCTCAATACATTTTATAGAACATTTGTACTTGCAGAATATTAATAAGCTCTGTTAAATATGATTTTCAGCAGTTTGTTTTACATTAATTTATTATGTGACATAGTTAGAAATTTGGGACAATTGGCATAGTTATAAATAGTAGAAATTTGAGAAAACGGTGCCATGGCTATAAAGAATGTCATGGATCTTCCATGTAAACTGTGCTGAACACTGGAAGATTTATGCTCAAAAGAAACTAGGTTCTTAAGTGTAATATGATATGGAAATTTGGAAGAGTGGAATGTATGTATAGCTTTAATACCAGAGGTTTGGTTTTATTCATGGTAAGGGAAGACATTAATTGCAAAGGAAAAGAAATGATTGCATTGGGAATTTACTGTTTTTTTTTTTTTAAATTTACTTTCTGCCTTTACTTAAATAAACCACGATTCAGACTGGTCTAGTGGTATAGTACTGTTCAAAGAATAGTTAATACACCAATTTAACCACATACTTTGTAATTTTAAGTAAGCTTTTAATAACTAAAAAAGCTAACTGAACTAATTTGAAAACCTGCCATTTTCAGTATATTTAGATGGGACTGTTAATCCAAGGAAGAATAATGATAATTGAGGGACAAGTGGAACACTCATTTAGTAATAAATTTGATCAGGTATAATATCTTTCAGCATGTCTTTCTCAAGAGAGTTGAGTATTTTCCAAAGACTTGTTTGTTCTGCAGCTGGTAGAGGATAAAGGTCTCTTGACACCCTAATGTTCTATATTTAATGAAAACATGTCCTGCCTAATGAGGACGGTCAATATCTTTTTAAATTAAAGAGCAAGTACACGTACTTCCAGTGACATCCCAGGACACATAAGGCCTGAACTTGAATCCACCAGGGCAGCCTTGTCTTTGTATTTTAGCTTGCTTATGGCAGTGACTTGTTTCTTGTTAGCTTCATTTCATTAATATTGAAAGTGTGATGGCAATGCAGAAGGAAAGACAACTAAGTGTTTTGGGACATGGTGACTGAGGGCTTTAGAAGACCTGTGATTAACTAGGTGAATACAATGTCAACAGACTGAAGTTTTTATTGAAATCTAGTTCACCGCATAATGAAGACGAGGAAACTCAGCATGAGGATATAAGCAACAGAAATGAAAATAGAATAAAATAGAATCAGTCAGGAAAGAAGGGAGGCAATTGTTAATGCAGGGACAGGCTCTAGGACTAATTAGCATGAATTGCGCAACTCTTTGTGCATTGAGAAGTTTCTGTTCAAGACAAACAGATACCTATGAGAGTAGTTGTATATAAACTACTGAAAATTTCCCTGAAGATGCCTTGGTGAATACTAATTATTAAGGTAGCACACAGTATTTTTTAGGTAGGCCATAAAAATGTTGGCCCAACAAAAGAAATTTCCTTGGACAATATGTGAAGAAATATGAATGAATCTTACAAATGTGTGATTTCTTTCTTTTCCCAAATTTCTCTGTTTGATTTGCAAAGGGAAAACAAAATTGAATACTTCTGCATTTTCAAATTTAAGTTTAGGGACTTGATTTTCTTATTGTACCTTGGAATTCTAACTTCAAAGATTGATTATCATATATTAACAAACTCTTTTTATGATAATATGGTAAATATGATTGCATTTTAAATGTTAATTTTACATCCAGGAAATTAATTTTTATGATCTTATATATTAGAGCTAATATTTTAGCTAATATTTGAAGGTATGGCAACTGCATTTTTGTAATTCAGGCAAGTGAGCCTGTACTTTTTCTCCTAGAGTTATGATCAGTGGGAGTTTTTCATGTGTTACATAACAATTTGTGTTTAGGTTATTCTGATCAATTTAATAGCAGAATAGGAATATTATAAAATAATGAATCAAATCCCTCATGGCATTTCACATTTGTGTTGAAACCACTCTGCCATTTCACCTTAATGTTTGTAATATATTTTGCTTAAGAGGATGAATTGTGGTACTTCTATTAGAATATTTCATTGATAGGGAATCATTCAAATGCAATTAGTAGTTCTAATATGGAGATTTAAATGCCACTTAACCATAGATGAGATCAAAGAAAGCAAAGCAAACTAGGACTGATCAGTGTATTTTGGCACTGTTCTTGGTGGCGTACAAATAAATTCCAGAATTTTAAATGAAGTTTTGTAAAGCTTCCTGCATACTCTAGCCTCTTGTATTTTCTCTTGACAATATGGTTTTGTCATGTTATGGATAACTAAGTTCTTTGGTCAACTGCATGGGTGTGGCCATATGAGTGACAGCTAAACCAATGGGTCCTATAATTCAGTTGTTTGCTTACTATTTTTTGCATGCCTACTATAAGCCAAGTATAAAACTCTGATCAGGATAGTTAGTCTCCTCCCTCATAGAATATAGTTTTTTGATGGTCAAAATATTTTCCAATACTAAAAATTTCTATAACACTTATGCATATTTGAATTAGCAATTTCATTTCTAGGCATTTGTAATAATAAGTTCATAGGACAGGTGTACAAATATGACTGTTCAAGATTTTCATACTTGTTTATAAGTAACAAAAAAGTGGAAGCAACCCAGATATCCAACAAAAGAAGACTGGTTAATAAAACCTGTTAAGTCCTTTCAGTGGAATACTAGGTGATGGGCCAAATAACAATGTGCATCTTTGTATATTTACAAAGAAAGATTCATGATATATTAAGTATGAAAAGATAAGCTAAAAAAGTTCATGTACATTTACATACACATAAACATAGAGGAGAGAAGGAATAGATTACATGTTAATCGTGACAAATGGAGTTGGTATATAAAGTAGTAGTAATAAGGAGCTTAGTTCCTGATGTCCCACTCCCTGGATTCAAACCCTCTTTCCACCCATTTCAGATGGGGACAATCTGAACTGTATATTAACTCCTAAATGTCTTAGTTTTTTCATTTATAAAATGGGTATCAAATAGTAAATACTGGAGTCTTGTGAGGATTAAATGCTATAAGACACATAAAGGGCTTAGGATAGTGCTTAACCTGTGGAAAGCATTTAAGGGTTTGCAGTTATTACTAAAATATTAGGGTGGTGAATTAGGGGTAATTTTTATTTTCTTCCTTTTGCTAATTTACATTTTTTAAAGTTTCTACGTGTTACCTAGTATTTTATTCAGCTGACTTGGTTGAAGCTCTTCAAGTCATGACAGGAAATTATGTTACTTAAAAATCTCTTGTACAACAGAGAAGAAGTAGATACAATGGTCGTTCATGTTTCTGCTTTTTGTTATTTTTTCGTTCAGAAAGCAAATTTTTCTATTTGTTATATTCAGAGCCAGCAAAATTTCATGTTTCATCTTTCAATATTGTATATCTATTATACATGTTTATATATTTTCAATAATAAATATTTATAGCAGGACTGCTATGTGCTTCTTTGCAGAGCACTGGGGGTACAACAGCTATAGGCTCTATTGACAGAAGAAAACGTTAGTCTTGAAAGTTTGTGTTGAAAAATAGGGACTTTTAATCACTTAAAACATTAACTTTGTGTTTTGGAAACAGAATGTTGGACTCATCATATGCCTTCCCCGTCATTAATCTTGGCTTGCGACCCATGACCTCCTCTTCTATGGGGCTTCCAAAAGAAAATGGTGAGTCTTACTGCATAAATGTTGGTGGTAACAGAGTGATTTTCATTGCTTTACATTTACTTAAAATGCAAAGTCAAATGGCTAGAATTGAACATTCATTACCTTTATATTTCATTTCAAATAAGATAAGATTTCAGAAACAACTACTACTGACCAATTTTCAGCTCCTTTATTGGAATGTAAGATATTTTTTTAAAGTGTGTGAATATTGAAGGTTTTAGAAAATTAAAAGGATACATTCTTGATAGTTAAAAGGTTTCTCTGTAGTTGAGTTATTGCTGTTTTAAAAAATACATAATTCTCCAAAAGAAAATATAGATGATTCTTTAAAGTCCTGTAAGTACGATTGAGAAACTCTCTTGAACATGGTAAGTTACCTGAAGAGCTGGGAGCTATTGATTCAAAGAAACTATTTTGTAATTTCCCCTCTTTTTAACTTGTTCATGTTTTTGAGCTCTAAGCTGTCACTAAGAGAAAACTCTTCTTGGAGAGTGAGACATTGGTTTTGGAGGAAAATTCTGAAAATTTGCAGAATAAATTCCTCCTTGGGTTTTCAAGGCACTCTTGCATTTAAATTTCCGATACAACTACAATTTTATCAGCCTTTATTTGTTTGGATTATTATAGAAGGAATTCAAGCATCATATGGAAAGTTGTGAAACACATTTTCATTAATTCAACCAGTATTCCCCAAAACTATTGATATTTTGAATATAATGTCAGAATTTTGAACATAGGGAATAGGTTTTGTTTTTTAAAATTTCATTGTTATAATACCAGCAACCAGGCCAGAGCCTGCCCTCTAAATCATTACACCATGCTAAAAAATTAAAATAAAATAAATCGGTATATTGATCCATTGCTTAAATTCTTTTAAGGCTAAATCAGATACTTAGAGGTTCCAGGGTAGTGAAATAATGTGGGTGTCAATTTGCGTCTAGAATTGAATATGTATTGTGGAGAAGAAAATGCTGTCAAAAAATCCTCATTAGGCATGGGGTCTAATGGGTGAAATAGTTTTAATAGATAATCTTAAAATCATATAACCTTGAAAGTTGAGGTTTATAGCCCTTCACTACCTTATAAGTGAAAGTTCTAAAGTTTTGTGACATTTAGAGTTTATTCAGGATCATCCTAAGGATTGATAAAAGCCTCTATCTTCAAATACCATCAACCTCAGATAAATCACATGTGTCTTCCCCCTTGCAGGGGATCTTCTTAGCTCACTGAAGTGTTCAGTAATTCTCACGGCTTTAGTCTGAATGTAAAAATTTATTTCAGATTTCTTTTTCTGTGTACATGGAGCTTACTAAAAAGGGATTTGACCCCTATTTGTTTAGTGCTAAAAAAAAGATAGAACATCTTTCTAAAATGTTGTTGAGAGAATCCCAGGTACTCCTACAGATTTATTGTGAGTGGAAGGCTGGCAGAATGGGCAGCAAACATCTACATGATATGTTTTGAAATTTGCTGAAAGTTCTATCTGTGCAAAAATATTTGGCCAAAGACTCTTTATATGTATCATAGTGACTGTTAGGCATTAATGAATATTTGTTGAATGAATGAAGATAAACTAAAAGAGGCCATCCAAATGGTATATACTTCTAAATATAACTTGTGTCTGTTACTGCATAATAGGCTAAAACTTGATAAATGCTAAACGAAAAATGAATTTGGAAAAGTAAAACACAGAAATAATGGCAATGAATATAAACATGCAAAAGAATAGTACCAGGTACTATTTTTTTTTACAGTTCTTATTTATGCTGATTATATGTGGACTGCAGAGATACCATAGAAATAAGTAAAAACGTTAGTCTTGAAAGTTTGTGTTGAAAAATAGGGACTTTTAATCACTTAAAACATTAACTTTGTGTTTTGGAAACAGAATGTTGGACTCATCATATGCCTTCCCCGTCATTAATCTTGGCTTGCGACCCATGACCTCCTCTTCTATGGGGCTTCCAAAAGAAAATGGTGAGTCTTACTGCATAAATGTTGGTGGTAACAGAGTGATTTTCATTGCTTTACATTTACTTAAAATGCAAAGTCAAATGGCTAGAATTGAACATTCATTACCTTTATATTTCATTTCAAATAAGATAAGATTTCAGAAACAACTACTACTGACCAATTTTCAGCTCCTTTATTTGAATGTAAGATATTTTTTTAAAGTGTGTGAATATTGAAGGTTTTAGAAAATTAAAAGGATACATTCTTGATAGTTAAAAGGTTTCTCTGTAGTTGAGTTATTGCTGTTTTAAAAAATACATAATTCTCCAAAAGAAAATATAGATGATTCTTTAAAGTCCTGTAAGTACGATTGAGAAACTCTCTTGAACATGGTAAGTTACCTGAAGAGCTGGGAGCTATTGATTCAAAGAAACTATTTTGTAATTTCCCCTCTTTTTAACTTGTTCATGTTTTTGAGCTCTAAGCTGTCACTAAGAGAAAACTCTTCTTGGAGAGTGAGACATTGGTTTTGGAGGAAAATTCTGAAAATTTGCAGAATAAATTCCTCCTTGGGTTTTCAAGGCACTCTTGCATTTAAATTTCCGATACAACTACAATTTTATCAGCCTTTATTTGTTTGGATTATTATAGAAGGAATTCAAGCATCATATGGAAAGTTGTGAAACACATTTTCATTAATTCAACCAGTATTCCCCAAAACTATTGATATTTTGAATATAATGTCAGAATTTTGAACATAGGGAATAGGTTTTGTTTTTTAAAATTTCATTGTTATAATACCAGCAACCAGGCCAGAGCCTGCCCTCTAAATCATTACACCATGCTAAAAAATTAAAATAAAATAAATCGGTATATTGATCCATTGCTTAAATTCTTTTAAGGCTAAATCAGATACTTAGAGGTTCCAGGGTAGTGAAATAATGTGGGTGTCAATTTGCGTCTAGAATTGAATATGTATTGTGGAGAAGAAAATGCTGTCAAAAAATCCTCATTAGGCATGGGGTCTAATGGGTGAAATAGTTTTAATAGATAATCTTAAAATCATATAACCTTGAAAGTTGAGGTTTATAGCCCTTCACTACCTTATAAGTGAAAGTTCTAAAGTTTTGTGACATTTAGAGTTTATTCAGGATCATCCTAAGGATTGATAAAAGCCTCTATCTTCAAATACCATCAACCTCAGATAAATCACATGTGTCTTCCCCCTTGCAGGGGATCTTCTTAGCTCACTGAAGTGTTCAGTAATTCTCACGGCTTTAGTCTGAATGTAAAAATTTATTTCAGATTTCTTTTTCTGTGTACATGGAGCTTACTAAAAAGGATTTGACCCCTATTTGTTTAGTGCTAAAAAAAAGATAGAACATCTTTCTAAAATGTTGTTGAGAGAATCCCAGGTACTCCTACAGATTTATTGTGAGTGGAAGGCTGGCAGAATGGGCAGCAAACATCTACATGATATGTTTTGAAATTTGCTGAAAGTTCTATCTGTGCAAAAATATTTGGCCAAAGACTCTTTATATGTATCATAGTGACTGTTAGGCATTAATGAATATTTGTTGAATGAATGAAGATAAACTAAAAGAGGCCATCCAAATGGTATATACTTCTAAATATAACTTGTGTCTGTTACTGCATAATAGGCTAAAACTTGATAAATGCTAAACGAAAAATGAATTTGGAAAAGTAAAACACAGAAATAATGGCAATGAATATAAACATGCAAAAGAATAGTACCAGGTACTATTTTTTTTTACAGTTCTTATTTATGCTGATTATATGTGGACTGCAGAGATACCATAGAAATAAGTAAAATATTATATATTTAATTTATATCCTTTAAAGCCAAATAGTTGGCAGATTATTAATGTTAATAATACTCTGAGTACTCATATAACTTCATGGGTAGTTATAAGGTTAAATGTGCTGACAGTGTAAGTGATTGCAATAAAAATATTTCCAAGTGCTATAGTGTAGCTATTCATTTTTACTCCTTAAAATGAAATGTATTTTTAATCAAAAAAGAGTGGGAATTTTTATCACTGCTTTGTTGTATGTGAAATTTTGTTTTATTTTATTTTTAGCCAAACCACTCTTTTATAATTGCAACATTTTTTTATAAGGGCAGAAATACCTGAAGGTTTGTGGCCAGCAATTTACTTTATGTAAGCTGTTACTAAAATGTGAAAAACATTAATTTCCTTTTTGAATAATCCAGGTGTGGTCCTGCCTGGCTTTGCATCTTGGGTGAGAAATAATGAATACTTTTGTGTTTGTTAATTTTTTAGTTCATTTTAAGGTCATAGTCTAAAAATTGGCACAGCAGAGCTTTTCTCCATATCATTATTGTAACTGTTCTGTAAGTTACAGCGTCACTGAATGTCTGAAACAGTCACTGAGGTTTATTTGATAACAGAATGTAGCTTAAATTGTGAGAAAATGTAGATCTTGTGGTTTTTTCTGGAGTCTGTGGTAATTTACTGGGCCTTTAAAATTGCCCAGTTCTTTTTTAGAATAAATAAATTATTCTTATTAAAGGCAGAAGGAAAGGTAATTAGAACATACGAATTAAGACAAAAATTTCTAGTCACATGACTTATATATAGTACTATAAAATGTATATTATACTGCTTGGGTGCTTACCTTTTAAAGCAGTATAGTAGCTCCTTCTTCTCTATCAGGGATATATTCCAAGACCCCCAGTGGATGACTGAAACTGCAGATAATCCCAAGCCCTCCATTACTATGTTTTTTCCTGTACATACATACTTATGATAAAGTTTAATTTATAAATTAGGCATAGTAAGAGATTAACAACAATAATTAATAATAAAATAGAACGGTTATAACATTATAGTTTAATAAAAGTAATGTGAATGTGTTCTTTCGCTCTCAAAACATTTTATTTTATTGTACTCGCCCTTCTTGTGAAGATGTGAGATGGTAAAATGGCTACATGATGAGATGAAGTGAGGTGAGTGATGAAGGCATTGCGACATAGTGTTAGGCTTCATTTGACCTTATGAACATACATCAGGAGGATCATCTGCTTCTGGACAGTGACTGACCGTGGGTACCTGAAACTGTGGAAAGCAAAACCTGGGACAAGGCCAGAACGCTGTATAGCATAATGATGAGAAATGAAGGCACTGGAGTTATTCTAGTTGCTCTAACGAGGTTTTATTCCGGCTTTGCCAGTTTCTAGCTGGGTAGTCTCATCCAAATACTTTATTGCTCTGTGACTCAGTTTCCTCATTGGTTAAGCAGGGAATAATGACAATACCAACCTCAAAGTTTTTAGATAATGCTTGAAAAGTGCTCTGTCCCCACCTGTGAGGATGTTTATTCCTCTGCTGCTCTCTCAAGTGGTGATGGTTCTCTCTCCCACCCCTCACATCTGTGGGGTTGGAGGTGCAGAGGTGACCTCCTTATATGTCATGTTGTTCTCAGGGCATTCTCCCTTCCTCTTTCCTAAAACTCTCAGCTTTGAATCTTATGTCATCAAATTATATCCTCCATTATCTCTCCTTGTTACAGAAATTTACTTATTTGTATCCGTTCTCTCATACTTTAAAGAATTTAGACCCTAGATCCTTGTAAATTTCTCTAGCATTAGTCTTGTAATAACTATTTGATTTCAGTATCCAAATAAATAAGCTCTTTAATTCATTGGCTTCTCAATCCCTTAAACTCTTTTCCTCTGATGATTTTTGCCTTCCATCACCCTACATATATCCTCTGATAGTCATGGCCTAGACACCTTAGAAGTATTTCTAAAATCTTGCTTTGAAGAGCACCACCATGTAACTGGACCACCTTCTGAACTTTCAATATTTTTTAAAATACTTTCACTGGGAATCTTGGGGTCCCCAGTATTCCTAGGATGCCTGGTGATCAATTTTTTACTTTTTCCTCTATATATTCATTCCCTTGATTATCTAATCCATTGTTTAAATACCATTTACATGGTGCTGACTCCAAACATATCTCCAGCCTGGCTGTTCTCCTTAACTCCAACTCATGTTCACTACTTAATCATCATTTCTACCTGCATTTTTAATAAGCACTTAAAACCCAATGTGTCCAACTCAGGAACTTTGTACATGTCATTCTCTTTGACTGGAAAATGCTTTGCCTTAAATGTAGTAAGCACCACTCCTACAATTCAGGGCTTTGTCCAAATCTTCATGAAGACAGATAGTTCTGACTGATATATTCACTACTAAATCTCTTAGAACCAGAATCATCCTTGGCATATAGGAAGTGCTCACTGAATTTTGTTGGATGAATGAAAGTACTACTGTTAAATTGCTAAAAGAATGGTACCAATTTTCATATTATATTATTCAATGAGGAAAATTATCTAATTTATTACAATAAGTTTTTTCACCCATGGAGCCCAAATATACTATTTTCATTTTGAATAAAAGATACAGCTAAAAATATACAACTCTGTGCATGTATGTGTGTGTATTTCTGAGAATTTTGTGAGCAACTATGCAAGGAGAGATTTTTGGGTACAAAACACCTAAAAATGTTAGTGAAATATTAGAAGGTAACTTAAAAAATATGGCTGAAACTGGGAGGAAAAGCATTAAAATAATAAAAACAAAAAACAAAGTCTAATTCCATAGGGGTTTTTCTACTTTAGTTTGCTTTTAGGGCTCATACCTATTCCTGGTGGCCTAGAACTTTCCTAGTTCAAACAAACAAACAAAAACTGTCATCACTTTTCTCCCCTTTCCTTCCTATCTGTCTAACTGTCTATCTATCTATCATCTATTTAGATAAATGTATGTAGGCATGTATTTATTGTCGGGCCCCAGGTATCCTGAATTAGGTTAATAGATATCCTTGTTTCAGGATGCATTATCATCACTTGTCAGTGAATTGCCCTATTTAATTTATTATTTGTATTGTTCAATATTATAATGGAGACAAAATTATCCCACAGCAAAAGGACTACAATATTGATAGCAACTAACATCTACTTCAGTGGCCCTCCC